TATCCCCTGTGTGCCTTCTCTCTCTCTCTCTCTCGCATCTCTTGCTCGTTCGCCGTCCCCTTCGCGAGAGAGACGGCGCTCTTTATCTCTCGCATTCGGTCGTACTCCTCGCTTGTGTATACGGCTGTTCGTCATCTTTTAAATTGTGTTCGGAGGTGCTCTCTTCTTCTTCTTCTTCTTCTTCCACTTCCTCCTCCTTCTTCTCTTCTTCTCGGGTTCTCTTCTCTCTCCCCTTCTTTTACGTTGTCTTCATCTTCTCTTCCTCTGCTCCGAGACGCCGCGCTCCTCTTTGCTCGCGCGAGCTGGCGAACGTCATCGGACTACCGAAAATAAAGTCTTCCTCCGCTTTCCTGTCCTCTCGTCTCTCGCTCGCTCTCTTTCACGCCACTTCCGAGTCGAATATACGCGCGAGCGAAGGGGCTTTATAAGTGCGAGCGCGAGAGAAAGAGCGCACACCAAAAGGAACTCTAGCCCCTTCTTTCTTTCTCTCTCTTTCTCTCTCTTTCCTCTCTGTCTGCCTTGGGAACTGCCAATCAAACGGTCCTCCATGAGAGTCGGCCTCTTAAACGGATAGTTTTTCACGCTCGCCGCGTGACAGATTAATCCCGAGCTAAATGGCGACACTTAAGCGCGCCGCGCGCCGTAATTAACGCCGCAGCGGCGTCGCTCTTCTTTTTGCACTTTTCCGCGCGCGAGCATCGGCGCTTACGGACCTACCGAATTCAAACAATCCGCGTCCCGCGTAATGATAATAAGTACATGTCCTGCTCGACCCGTTGGACCCGTAAATTATTTAGATCGTAAACAAATAATACGTACATTCTTAAGTCAATTAGAGAGACTTACGTTGGCTTCAATGCGTTTTTTCTTGTAGATTTTCTTGGCAATACTTTATTGAACCCTTAATTTAAAGTGTCCTTTAATTATGGCGTCTTTACGTTATTCCTAATTTAATTGAAAAGCGACGCGATTATATTCTGCATTGCTAGATACGCGGAAACGCAACGAAATTTACGTTGTGTGCTGAAGACATGTTAGCGATCTTGTTTCGCGAGTAATGTTTAATTTCACGAGAAAATGTTGAGCGTAAAAGGTTTGCGTTCTTGTTTTCCTTTGTACGTCAGATAACACACACGATTATTGACGTTTCGATTTATTCCGTTTGCACGAGGATATCTGGAGCAGTCAAACCATTTCGACTCGATGGTTCGGCATTGTGGAATTCTGTTAAAAGGTCGCTGCCACGCGGGAATCGTAATATTTTTTTTCTGTGTAAATAACAAATATAGTACACGATATAATTGGGCATCACTGACGTTTATGTCAAATGGCGTCGGATAACAAATGAGAGCGCGCGTGATTTATGTTGGGTAGATTTAGTTTTATGTTCGATATTTATCTTTCATCATGGCAATTTCTTGTATTTTCTCCGACAAGATTAATATCTTTTTTACCAATCCTAGCCTCGCGTTATAGTTGCCAATTGTTTCGAGCGATTGTTCCTGAATATAACAAAAATATATTGCTCTTTTTTTACTCCAATATATTAGCAGAAATCACGTTCTGTCTATGTCTCGTTTGAAATAGAAAATTTATTTTATACATATTCAAACGCAATTTATAGATTTTTGTATCGTATCCGTTAATACTGTTTCTGTTTGCAATATCCGCTATTACGTGGTTTATATAAAAACAAATTGTTATATGTAATTGATAACAAAAAGTATTCTATATATTTTAAATAAAAAATATTAATATTACTTATTACTCGTTGCATTTTAATACAATATGAAATAAGTTTATTTATAATATGTTTTTTTCAAGTACCATATATTTTAATAAATTCCATTATGTACACCGAAATATATTTTTCACTTAAAAAGAAATTTAGAAAATAATAACTGTGTTTCAAAATATATTTTAAATCTTTCAATAATATTGCGTTATATAAGTATATCCATTATTTAACTAAATGTTGTTCTCTTCGTGAATAATAATATCACTCCGCACTATATAATTTGTACGTAGCAACGTTCATATAAGATGTTTTTATTCAATATTAATTATAGTATTTTTATGCATAACATTAATAGCAACATTAATAAATATTGAGAAGATACTGCATGATATTGATTTCTATCTGATGACGTCTAAAACTGTCATTCAAATACCGGTGTAAGATGGAACCATATCCGACTTTTTTCTGTCACTTTGCGGTCTACGATAATCCCTTGCGCGATTCTTCCGCGCTTTCGACGCGTACCGATCCGATTATTATAAACCGGAATGTTTGCGCGAACGACAGTTAAAGTGCGTTCGATATCCGCGCGCGAGTCGGTCAAAATCGTAATCAAAATTCAGTTTTGTCCCGCGAAGCGCAAAGCACCCGCGATCGTTGACCGATCGATCGACAAGGCAATACGAGCGAGGCTTACGGTCGATCGGCGATGCTTTGCCGAATATCGAATTACTCGCGGACATAGCCCAGGAGCAGCCAACTATACGCGAATACACGCGATCATTCTGCCGATTGGATTCGACGATGCATCGACTTTGGGATGGCCCATTGTCCCGCGTGCGACCTTCTGTAATCACTATGTCCGCTTTACCGTGGGCTTTTGTACCATTGTCAGGACCACATTGCGTTTCTACCGTGAAGCTTTTCAATCTCGATCAATGTTGAAAGAGTATTAAATATAAGTATTAAACGCTGGTCTCTCCGCGCGTCGAGATATTTTATCATTAATGTATATATTATATATATAAAAAAATATATATATTATATTTCAGAACAGATATATTTTCTATGCATTTTATTATTTATATATTTTTCTTGGTTTTTGGAATAAAAAATTATCTTGCAACAAATTTCATTTCAGTTTCGGATAGCAGAAATTCATGAACAAA